ACAGTTTGGTTCACACAGAACCCTTAACTTAAAGCACAGACCCTGAACCTATCAGTTCTGGCTAACCAACAGACACCTGAACCTATCAGGTTGGTACTCTGACACACAGAAGTACCCTGTCTGACACACAGACTCCCACAACAGCTTCTTCTTCCCAGCTGCTGCTTCGTCACATCCCAGCGTCTACCTTTCACCACACAGGCTTCACCTATATATACAGTACAGCCCCTCCTCCTGATGTCCCGCCTTCCACTCCCCATAGGATGGAACTTTCCCTCCAAACCCATGACAGACAGGTAACATCAGTGCTGTATGTAACAGCGAATTTTGAGGCATTTAGAGAAAGGCCACCCTCCTCTGCCACTTGGTAAATCTTGTGATTCAGCAGAAGGGTTGTAATGTGAGTGCAGAGTTCAGCTTCCTAAGAATCCTAGATGGCTAGTTTATGTAAAAATAAGCAAACTGATGTCTCTCTGGAAGGCAGTGCTTGTCATATGACAAAATGTCAGCCGAAGGTCTCTATGGCAGCACAAAATATGGTGTGCCTCTCCATCACCATACGATGCCCTAGATGCATCTGGACCCATCTGATTTCTGAAGCCAAGATAGGATGGGTCTTGTTAGCATTCGGTTTGGGATTTCCAGGTACAGATTTGCCTGTGGGAAGCTGGGGCCAGACGCAGTGGACAAGAGTGGCTAAATGCAGCACAACCCACGCACTCCGGACAATTTTTCACAACAGGAAGAGAGAGGAGAACGAGGTCGCACCAGAAAAGGGAGATCGTATGCTTCCCCAGCCACAGCTGGGATTAAGACAAGAATCCCGATGCAGGACCGCTCCGCCGCCCCAACAGAGGATGATTCTACCCAACACTGGCCTGGCACCTGTCCCACCAAGACCGAGTCTACAGGCATTTTCTGAAGAAGCGGCTAAAGTCCCACGTCCTCCCCCACCACTCCCTGACACATGCAGGCAAAATTACCATCTATCTCTCGGCGTGGTATCAGTCGGGACGTAATCGAACTTCACCTTCCAGCGGACAGCTTGTTTGCCCACCTCCACCGTTGTGATTCGGCCCGTGTACCACTCCTTGTTCACCCGTACTTCCACGTGTTGCCCTTTATCTGCACGGGACAGAAAAGCAAACTCGGAGTTGGGTTTGTGTTCGGCTGTGGTTTCTAGGAAAGACCAGACTCCAGCACCCTCCCCTAAAGCCTGGTCAGTAAGGAATAACTCAGTCTTTGGGAGATCAATTTTGACTTTAGTGCAGTCCTTTTCCAGGTCAGTGTGGTGGCATGAGAACGAGGAGGCATCCCTTTCTCACTAATTTCGCTCTCTAGGGACAGGCACCCTCTTCCTGCAGCCACAAGGACACCTCCCTGGCACCCTGGCCTTAGAATACAGGCACTTTTTCTGGACACCACAAGGCCAGGCACCCGCCCGCACACGTGTTCACAATGCCTGGGGTGAGCCCTTTACCCGCGTGCCAGCCAGCCAGCGTCTTCCAGCCCCCGTTGAGACTAATCTTATTCGGTTTTCAGGTGAAAAGGGTTCTTCGTGCATGACTTTGTGGCCTTCTTATTCTTATTTTCAGGTACTGTTGCCTAAGTGGATGTGGATGTTACACACTTTGTCTTCTCTGACTGCTTTTTGAAATGTTACTTGTGAACCTACAGAAAGGGCAGTTTCTCCACAAATCAAACAAAGATAGGGAAACGCAGGTATCATGATAGAAACGGAAGGAAGGGTACTTTATCCGGTACGGAAGATCCTTGTGTCTAGTTTCTGCTCCTGTGGATGAATAAAAAAAATTACAGGGATCCAGTTATGGGCTTCTTACCTTTCTGTGCTCTTTTCAGCTCTCTTAATTCTTCTTCCCCTGCACTATCTGTGAGCTGAAAACAAGAGTTCAAAGAGAGTAAGGAGACTCTGCTCATAGCATTTCACTAAATCAAAGCCTGGGAGGGGGAAGGAAAAGGGGCTACATTTATAATTCAACTGAAACCAGTGGCAATTTTCATTTACCCTCAAACTTACTGGCATCGGGAAATTAAACCCAAGGCAAGAGGTAGACTAACCAACTAACTAATATGCCACCTTGGTTCGAAAGGATCCAAGGCAACTTACAGTATTCAAAAGAAACAAAGTTAAAACGTTAATGTAAATAATTACATTAAAAAAGCATTAAACAAGTATCACTTTAAAACTTGTAACAGTAATATAAAAACATACAAATAAAACTCAGAATAAATTGTTGGCTTTTTAAAAAAAGCTTGGTTAAACCAGTCATTAAAGGAAAGCTTGCCTGAAGAGAAAGGTATCTGCCTGCTTGTGGAAGGACAACCAAGAGGGGGCAAGCCTGGTTTCCAGTGGGAGGGAGTTCCAGAGTCTGGGAGCCACAGAGAAGGCCCTCTCCAGTGTCTCCCCACCAGACGCACCTATGAGGGTGGTGGGATCAAGAGAAAGGACTCCCCTAATGATCTTAAGACCCTAGGCAGGCTCATAAGGGGAGATGCAATCTTTTAGATAGCTTATTATTTATACAGTGGTGCCTCGCACAACGATTGCTTCATACAACGATGAATTCACACAGCGATGGGTTTTTTTGAGGAATTTCCCCCATCGTTTAACGATGTTCTCTATGGGGGAATTTCACTTAACGATGTCCCTTTTTGCTCATTTAAAAGTGTCTTAAAATGTTTGAAACCTGTTTTAAATGCTTGGATTCCATAGTGCACCTTGTGAAACATATGCAAACTTAATTTGGTTTTGTTCTGAGTCGTCCTTAATTTTTGGTGATTTTTTTATTTTCCCCATTTTGGAATGCATTGGACGGAAAGTTCAATACTGTACATTCCAATGAGAGAAAATTCAAAAAATCAC